TACCTCCTCCTCCTCCTCCTCCTCCTCCTCCTCCTCCTCCTCCTCCTCCTCCTCCTCCTCCTCCTCCTCCTCCTCCTCCTCCTCCTCCTCCTCCTCCTCCTCCTCCTCCTCCTCCTCCTCCTCCTCCTCCTCCTCCTCCTCCTCCTCCTCCTCCTCACACAGCCACCTCCTCCAGGACAGTGCTGGAAACCAACGAGGAGTTTAAAAGTATGACAGGAACCATCCACTTCGGGAGGAAACTGATCCTGAAGTACAACCGGCGTGAGCTGACAGACAAGCTGCTCATCTTCCTGGCGCTCGCCCTCTTCTTCGCCACCGTCCTCTACATCCTTAAGAAGCGTCTCTTTCCCTTCATTTAGCTGTTAATAAACACACTTCAGGAAGAATGGCTCTTAGCCGTTTTGAAGTAAAAACTTGAGTACATAGTTGGATCAGCATTGAGACTGAACTTCTGCACGAAGAAACAGAGTCAAGTGGCCCTTTGTTTTTATCTTGATCAATATGCAAAATGTTTCTTTATAAAATGGGAATGAAGGAAAAAGTGTGAACTGGCATTCTGAGGTTTTGTGCAACAGTGATAAGGTTACAGCCTGCTTCAAACAAACTTGGGCTGTTCCAAACATCACTGAAGGCTTTTTATATACTATGGCTATTGAGTAATCATGTAGTCTCAATTTGATAATTAATAATATATTGATGCACAATTTCATACGGTCTATCCTTCTACCCTTAAGACGTTCAAAAGGCTGCATTATGAGGAAAGCTTTGAGAATGTGACTATTCTACCCACTTTAACTCCTGATCCCCACTGACTGTTTTAGAAACATCATTTTGAATTTGTAGTTCGAGATTCAGAACTAACCAGGGACTAAGCCATAACCTTCACTTTGTTGCCATCAGTCAATTTAAGATATGTGTGTGTACAACCTAGAAAGTGTTGTCTGCTCTGGAAGGCTTTTTCAAAGATGCCATTGTTACAGTTATTGACGAGTTTAGCCTGTGCCTTTCTTCTTTAGGACGTCCAGACAACTGACTCAGAGATGCAGCACTTACTCATCCTCTAAAGTTCATTTGTCACGGTGAGTTGGAGAGTGCATGTCAGGGATGCCTTACTGTTCGTCTGTGTGACTATTTTACAGAGCAGGGCTGAATTAACACACTTCTCGTTGTCCAGTAACATCATTGTAGTTTATTTAATTTCAATCAAAATGCTTACAAATGTATTTTTGGATTCATTTAAATAAAAACTTACAAAACATAGCTTGAAACCTGGGGTCTGTATGAAATGTGATTCATCAAAAACACGTCATACCCGAAGAGCACCTTCCTGTAGACAGCACCCGGACAGTCCACAAGATAAAGTTCGACAACATGTCAACAATACGGTGCATAATATAACAATCTTCATAAATACAAAAACAGACTTAAATAGGTAGAATACTGACTTTCAGCTGCACTTGAGCGATTCCCTGTAGTGTGTGTGTGTGTGTGTGTGTGTCCATGCACCTTGCTGAAGGATACAGCCACTGTGGTTAACTGTCGATGTGAGGTAGATAACTGGTTTTCAATCTTGTACAAAGTCAAATGTCAAGGAAAATAGTAATATATATATATAGCACAAATACCCAACAGATTAAATAAGATATGTTGCATTGCTTTTACCAGCAATACAACACAAAACTACGACCACTACTGACACTCATTCTGCTAATATAATAGTAATAAGTGCATCATCTTTGTGAACCCTTTCTGCACCACCGGTCTGTTTATGAAGAGGTCACATTGGATTTCCCAGGCACAGGTGAACCAGATTGGGTCGTGTTGTTGACCTGACTGAGTGTGTTTCTGTCCTCGGTGGGTCTGGAGGGCTGCAGCAGGGGTCCTTCAGCTGTGGTAGGCCATGGTGGTGTGATGTTGGTAACCTCCAGGTCGTCCGATTGGCTGAGAGAGCATGTACTTTCAAAGCTGCTGCACAGCCCCCCCCAGTGCTGCTCACACTGTCCGCGCAGCCGCTGGCCGACCCACAGCCTGACGTCTTCCCCACACTTCAACAGGAAGTTCATCAGCTCCACATACGGTCTGATGAGACACGAGAGACGAATGTTTGCGTTTATCCAACTTTTCAACACAGACTCTCAGAAGAACACTACCTAAAGTTAGACTCTTTCACAGTAGCTATGACTTATCATGAAAGGGAAAACACAGGTTATGGCAGTGAGGCGGCATGCACAATACTGGACTCTGAAATTGAAGGCGCTAAATGGAATTCAGTCATCACCTTTTTTAAATATTTACCACTGTGCTTTTCATACTGTGAGAGGGGAAACAAGTCTGGGCCAACAAGCGAGAAACAACTAACATGAAAAAAGTCCTAGTATAGCATGTCATAAAATATATATTGAAAAATAATTCCTCGTAATGTATATGGAAAAAATAATACTATTAGTCAAAGTATAGTTTCAAAAAGAAAGAATTATGATGTATATAAAAAGTATAGTATGCGATAAAAAAACATTTTAAACTCGTAGTATATAAAAATGATGTAAGTGAGAAAGACATAGTATAGTATGTTTTAAAAACATCAATGAGTATTGTAGCAGATGATGTCATTAAAACTGCATTAAGCAATCATAGCATAACAAGTATGATATAAAGAAGTAAAAAGAAATACAGTTTGCTATGTATAGAAGGTCTTACAAAATGTCATTGATGTTAAATTATACTATGTGTTAAAAATATCATTCAAAAGTCATAGTATATCAAGTAAATCGTAAGAAAGATCAATCCAAAAGACAGTATACATTTCAAAACAATTTCAGTTTGTAAAATAAGTGTTTTACTTGTGTGATAAAATGACTGAAATGTACCCTAAAATGTAGTGTAACAGTTACTCTTAAGACTTTTTTCCTTTGGATGATGATAAAAGTCAAGAGATTATTTTCAGTTTGTGTGTGTGTGTCTCACCCCGGGGGGAACATGAGGTGGAACTGCACCAGGCTGCCCATGGTGTCCATGTGGTCTCTCAGCGCCAGGCAGAGCTGGTGTTTGGAGTAGCATTCCCTCTGCAGCGAGAACACCATCTCCCTCACCGCGGAGCACCGGCGGCTCACACAGCTGAAGCGCTGCCGTAGGCCCAGAGCCATGCAGCGCAACGCATCCTTCACAAAGGACTTACCCTGGGAGTAGGAGGAGGAGGAACCAGTTTCAATGCAGCAAGGCATTGCACTTACAACTACAATAAGCATATGTAGATGCTTATTGTAGTTGTAAGTGCAATAAGCATGTATAGATGGCCCATTCAATAATATGATTTAACATATAAATCCTGTTGCAGTGTGCTTTTTATTCTTTTCATCTTTAAAAGTCAGTAGGATGCAGGAAAATGTCTCAACCCGCCTCCGCCCCCCTGGGATTGGTCATTTGAAATGCTCCCTATTTCTGAGGTCACAAGGTTGGCAAGTGGTTCTTTGTATTTTTGGTTTCATGGTGGCTCCCCACTAAATTTGTATTAATTTAATGGAAGACCTTATTTCAATGCAGCCAATCAAATTTGGCAAAAAGCAGTAACGTCACTGCTTTACAGCACAATAGCCACAGAGATTGAACAACAACCAACATTAGCTTTCCTGCTATAGTGTTCTCACTTATTTACACATCCAACAATCCCACAGGAAACGTATCATTGTTTTGAAGTCAAGTTTCTGGCCACCTACTGAGCCTATAATATTCTCTCCTATTGAGCTTTGTGAATGGTATTTACCAGCTCCTGAGGACAATATCTGTCTCTTTAGCTGCTGACTGCTCCACTATAGTCACCAGCTAGATATTTGCTTTGTCCGTCTCAAGTTGGCTGTTGAGCAAGAAGTGTTTATTGGAATTTTTGTACAGCCTTTGAGTTAAAACAGCTGTCTTCTGCAGCTTAAAAATATACTAACAGAGTGGTGTGAGTAAACCCTAACCCTAATAAAGTGAAGTTGCGGGTCGAACAGCTCAACAATGAGCTGAAATTTACCATGAATATACGTCAAAGTGAGGAGTGAGGCAGATTCTCTTTAGATGTATTCCTAGGAGGGACTTATTTTGTAATATCATTTGTTTTTTTTAATTGTAAAAATACTGATTATAGCTATGTCCACAAAGGCACACATTCACCATGATATTAGCATTTAAATATATTCTGCTATTGTTTGTTACTTTATTTAACATCCAGTTAACTCGACGCTGACAGATCCTTGGTGAACATCATCCACTCTGCGATCATGCTGGAGACACATGAAGACTTCATCATTCCCTCATGTACTTCTATTCTAGTAAAGTAGACACACTGTTCCCTCTCTCATTTCACTTCCCCTCTCAGTTTGTTCTGTATCCAGTGCCACCATGCATAACTATACATACACATTAGCAAACATTCTTCACAAATGACTGTAATGACTGATGGGATTAAATAAAAATAAAAACATGTATCCCAATATGTCTCATCTAATCTCGCTTTGAGATGCTGCTGGACCCAGTTTCAGACTATGTCATCTAGTTCAGATGGGGTCAAACGGTAAACAATTACTCCTAATAAGTGTGTGTTGAGGTGTCTGTGTGTCCTCCTCCCACCTGTGAGTCGTAGCGCCCGGCGTTGTGCAGCAGAGTGAGACAGATTTGGTGCAGACCTTGGATTTCACAAGAGTTGTTGTTGAAACACTGAAAATTCCCACAGCCGACATCCCCTGAACTCACCAGACAACTCTGAATTTCCGCTGAGAGAGAGAGAAAAAGAGAGTTGTGTTAACATTAGGGCTGTCAAGTTAACGCGTTAATAACGCGTTAACGCAAAAAAAAAATTAACACCACTAATTATTTTAACGCGATTAACGTATGTGTATTTTTTTCCTCGGCCGCCCCGTAGTTTCAGAGCGCATCGAGTTTAAAATACCATCTACAAGCTGATGTTGACAGCCCTGCTCCTGCTGCCCGCTTGCAGCAGATCACACTTCCACGCTCACCGGCAGGCACCGACTGGCTGTTGGGAGGACCGGGAGGGTGTGTGTATGTGTGGCTCGAGCGAGCGAGAGAGAGACCTTACGTGCATTGTTGTTGTTAGCATCTGGTGCTAGCTAGCTGCGCTTGAATTGATTGAATTGATTGAAAAGTTTATTAACAGCTTGTATATTGGGTACAGTACAGTACAGCTCAAAACATACAATTGTTAAGGGGATGCAGACCAGAGAAAGACTTTCGTCTTGTTTACATCAGGGTCCCCCATTTCCAATTCATCATGTCATTTAAGACATATTTGACATACAGATGGCTTATTTACAATTTACATACAGGTGGTTTTTTACATACAGATTGCTTATTTACAATTTTCATTTAACAGATATAAGGAGCTGCTTAAATGAAAACAGAGGAGCGACATTTCGCCACAACTGCGCCGAGCACTTGACTTTATGCAGGCAGCCAGACAGTGGGACATTGTACGAGAAGTCAGCACACTCAGCACGGATAGTGCGCAACATGATTGCAGCGTCCAGGCAGCTCCCGTTCGAGCATATGCCTTGAGTTGCACATAGCTCCAATGATTCATCACAGTGACACACGCACGCACGCACGCACACACACACACACACACACACACACACACACACACACACACACACACACACACACACACACACACACACACACACACACACACACACACACACACACACACACACACACACACACACACACACACACACACACACACACACACACACCATTTTTATTGTATTAGGTTCCAGGTTGAATTGAGGCGAATATTTGTAATGTTCAGAAGTTGTTGTGTTTAATATTCATGAGAATATTTGTCATTGTTCAAATGATAATAAACATTAGCATAAAGCATATTTGTCCAATCATATGTTGATAAGAGTATTAAAAACTTGAAAAATATTCCTCTAAGGTACATTTAAAACAGATAAAAAATGTGCGATTAATTTGCGATTAATCGCGATTAACTATGGACAATCATGCGATTAATCGCGATTAAATACTTTAATCGACTGACAGCCCTAGTTAACATACATTGATACCACAGAAATAAGTGAGTCTTCAAAATCACATTTGCTACTGTGTCTCTTATGTAACTGTGATGTTTTCCAATGTACTTTAAAAAAGAATTCAGATGCTTAAGTGAAAATAATCATTGTGCAGAAAAGTTGTCTTTATGTGTGTATATAATTATATATGTGACATTTCTAGATAATATTGTCGCATCAAGTAGC